TGAGCTACCCGGATGCCGATGTCTTCATCGTGTGCTACTCTGTCGAAAGGCCCCAATCCTTGAAAAGTGTCGAGGAGAAGTGGATACCAGAGGTTTGTGCAAAATACTCTTGTTTTGACAAAAAGAGATTGTCTTGCTCTTTAATTTTCACAGTCGTCAAAATTTGTCAAGCAAAAAACCCGAACACGAGGAATTGAGCAAGGGTGAGGGGAATTAAGCTGACGGGAGGAGCGGGAAGGGGAAAAGAAATGGGAGGAAAACAAGAGGCAAAATTTAGCTAAAAACAAGCAAAAATTTAATCACTGGCCCAATTTTGTCAGAGGAATAGGAAATTTAGCCAGAGATGTTAATAATTAGTTGATAGATAAATAGTAAATTGGGCAGAAATCAAATTTTTCTAGATTCGACGATTCTGCCCGGATGTTCCAATACTTGTAGTTGGAAACAAAAAGGATATTCGGAACGAGCGGGATCGTGACAGGCGAAAGAGCGGCAATGAAAATCTCGAGCACGTACGGCAACTAGTGAATTATGATGATGCCGCTGCCTGCTCCAAACAGTTCTCCTCGCACAAAGTGCTCGAATGCTCTGCCAAAACAAAAGAAGTACTGTTTATTACTGGTGACTGAAAGCAACTTAGAAAAACGAAGTTATGAAAAACATATATGTGCATATTCACAAGGGGGTCTGATTTGGCCACTTAAACAAACAGTTTCTCTACGAATCGTTATTCATTTCTGCGCTAAAATGGTACTGGCCTGTGCCGATGAAACAAAGCCACCATTGACTGGTTTCTAATTAACTCCGCAAGAGTTTGCTATTAAGAGCTGTATAGAATAGACTACTTTCAGCTTGCTTTCGCTTTTCATAAAGAATGAATGCGAAGAGGATTTAGAGTTCAAATTTTTGATGTTAAAAACTGTGAACGCGCAGTTCTTTGATGTCAAAATTTTGATAAATTCTTTTTGATTTAATTTGTATTTGCTTTAGGGGCAGAGTGGAAAGGTGCTGGAAGTGTGATTTTCCTCGCATTTTTTCATTTTACTACCCTTTATTACAATTCTCAGGTGTTTTACGCACACATTCCGATTGCGTTCCAATTTAATTATTTACATGCGAAATACTGCGGAATAGCCGGAATGGACGAAGTGGAAATAAAGAAATTTCCGCACGTGCTCAAATCTTTAATATATATTAATCGTTATTTATAAAAGTACGAAATTACATTAAAAAAGTGAATGAACAGGAATGTTTTGGCCTACTTAAGTTTAGCTAACATTAAAACAAGTGTAAATTATGAGATGAATGTTTTGATTGGATGCGTTTTGGAAAAGCAATGTTAGGTTCATAAAAAAAGTAGGCTTTTCGTACTCCTAATATTTTTCATATTCACAATAGCACATATAAATATATCAGCTTCAATTATTCCAATTTTCCAAGTCTTGTAGTTGAAGCTTTTATAAACTTTTGTTTTCCTTGACCCTTTGCACTTTCCAGTTTTTCTAAGCTTTATTTCTGTCAGCAGGATTTGTTTTTATTTCTGGAAGCAGAATAAATAGTATCGGAAAATTTCAACTCCGTTTTTTGTCTGAATGTGTGTGTTTTATGCGCTCTCACAGAATAAACCTGATGAAACAAAGCAAGTGGCGTACTGTCCGACTGTGATCATTTACAGTGGCTGTGGCTGTGGTCATTTCATTTGGGATTTCTAGATTTTGTTAAATTTTTCGTATTTGCTTTAGAAAGGCGGATAAAATAATTTGCAGGGTGTGCGGAATGTATTCGACACGGCTATTCGAATAGCCATTGCGCATCGGGCGAGTCGCAGCAGCCGAGTGTTGAATTCGATCATGAAGCTGAGGCTTGTTTTTTGAGTGGTACTGCTGCTGCAGCTACTCACGCTTCCACGCATTCCTGATATTACCTCAGCTGCCAGAATTCGAAACTCGCGATAAGCGAGTGCGTGTCCATTCAGAAAAGTGACACGTGCAGGAATGAAATGCAGCGGGCTTTAGACTCGAACAAATATGCTGCCATAACCAGTTCGACCAGCAGAAAAATAGTTATAGAGACCCTCATGAATATAAATTGCGTTAGATATTTTTAGAGGCGAGATGTGCGGTTGACGCTCTGTAAACTTAACACAGCTGGGCCTTTTCGCTGAGCAGAATAGATCTGAAATTGAAATTGCAAGTCGACAAAATTCGTTGTTGCCCATTCACCTGACAAACCTACCAAAAAGACTGAAATGCGATCTTTTAAAGCTTGCTGAATAAATGCTCTACAAACAGAACGATCGCATTTCTATAAAGCACATGTACTTTCGGCTGACCAAGGTGTCTTAGGACTTCAGAGCTAGGCATTTCGAGTCACATAACT